GTGCAGTAGTCAGTGGTGTGTCAGGTGACCCGCTTCGTCCTCCTTTATGTATTCAAGGTAGGATTCAGACACATCAATAATTACTGTGGTCAGCCTCAGGGGTTAGCAGGGATAGTAGAAGAAGGCAGGGTAATAAGGACTTTTTTCTGTAAAAATCCTGAAGATTAAATAGCTCAAATCCTTAAGCTCCGGGCAGAATTGCTCTGTGTAACTGTTAAGTGTGGTATATTTGGTACTTGTGACCAGAAAGATGCCAAAACAAGCTGAGGTGGTGTATAAAATATCGGTATAGGACAGAGTTTATAGTAGTTTTTCCTGCTGGTGGGAGATTCTTCCTGTGCAGGAGAAGGAATGCTGATAAAATAGGATCTCTGTCCTTTCAACTCCATAGCTGAAAATTACTGAAAACAAACTGTTTCAAATCAAACATTTTTTGTGTTATAACAGGTTAAATGATATGTGGACAATTGGCCTACAGGATAGAGAGCTCACATGCTGGGAAGAGGTAAGAAGCTTTAATTTCAACTAACACTTCGAGTTGTCTTTTTTGGTCTTCATACACAATTATTTAAAACTTCCTGTGCCGGACTGCACTGCTCTCTCTTCAGGATGTGTTTGTCACACAGGTGGAAAGAAAGAGTTCAACTTCGATTTTGTTTGTGTACTTGGAAAACCAAGTGCGTATGAAAGTGTGATTTTTCCTTGTGAATCTGTGAACACAGACTACCCGTGGTGGCTTTGCTGTGCCCCCTGTAAAAAAAAAAAGGGACTGCATTTCCCACTTTAACCACTGCGGTGAACTGGGAGTTTTACTGGCTGGCTATCAAGATCTGAGCCCTGATCCTTACAGTATCAGGGGCTTTAGAAATGTGGCCTCCCACCCTTTTTATCCACGGTGAAATTAGTCTGTGCAGACGTGTAAGCACAGCATTAGTTGATTACCTGTAGCCAGATTTACAGGGACTTGGTTGTCTGCACAGGGTGCTGCCATGTGGCCTGTCTGTCTCCGGCGCGTGGCGTGCTCCCGCAGCGTACTCGGCGCGCGTGGTTGTGCCCTGCAGTAACACGCTTTTAATTTTGAACTTCGTTATCTTTCAGATTGAACAAAGCGGTGAAATTCCTCCTTCATGCTGTAATTTTCCTGTAGCTGTTTGCAAAGACAAGATGTTTGTTTTCTCCGGCCAGAGTGGAGCAAAGATTACCAATAATCTCTTTCAGTTTGAATTCAAGGAAAAGATGTAAGTGTAGACAGTTAAGTCGCACAAAATCCACATAATCCTTGACTACTTGAGTTGAGAAATGCACATACTTAAGAGCATTGAGGAAGAATACTGCATGTCATGATGAGAAGGGCAGATAAGACAAAATATGGACTGTTTTAGTGGGACTTGGTTGTTTGCCATGTGCATTAGGTAGGTCTTTTTCAGCAGACGAACAGGAAGTTTAGTAGATTCGCTTTAAACAGTCAGTGTGAATCTTAGCGTATTCAGAGTGGGATGCCAAGGGTTCCCTTCCTAAAAGTGGTTATACGAATACCTGATCAAAACCAGACAAAGGTCCTGTGAAATACCAGTGCATAGCAAGATACTGGGAAATGTAAAATGCCAAGTATTTTTTAGTCTTGAGTATTCAGTTTGAGACATTTGTGTGACTTGCTTAAAGTGTCGACCGTTGCTCTGAGAGCGAGGCCCCGCTGATGGGATGAAAGTGCCAGAAGGTGGGAATACAGACGTACTGGTCTGTTCTGGCAGCCTGGTCGGTCTGGTTACTGGCTGAGGTGGAACCACAACTGAAACCACAGCTGGTGGCCTCCAGACCTTGGCTGAAATCGTGCTGTCATCGTGACCAAGCAATGCCTTATCACAGTGGGCTGTGGTGTCAGAACGGTGCCCTGTCCATAGGAGGGTCAGCTGCTAAAACGGGTGATAATAGATCACCTATTCCTTCCCGAGGTCTGGTCTGTGAGCTGCCGGGGTTTATATAAATACATCTGGGTTATGGAACCGTGTTGCCTTTATCACAGTGTCAGTTAGAAGTTAGACATGGACCTGATGTAGCTCTCTGAGAAATCTGCAGGATTAGTCGTGGTCTGTTCTCATGCCGGTTCAGTAAGTGCTCTAATAGAGCTCCTCGTCTTTATTCTTACAATCTGAACATTAGAAAACTTCCTTTGCAGAAAAGAATTGTAAAAAACCATACTGTTTCGTGTTTACTGTCTCAGTTGGACCCGAATTCCTACCGAGCACTTACTTCGAGGCTCCCCTCCTCCTCCACAGCGAAGGTACGGCCACACCATGGTTGCGTTCGACCGGCATCTCTACGTGTTTGGTGGTGCTGCAGACAACACCCTGCCCAATGAGCTGCACTGCTACGACGTGGACTCTCAGACCTGGGAAGTCATCCAGCCCAGCCCAGACAGTGAGGTAAAACGTTCAGCTCTTGGGTTTGCCTTTTATGCTCCGTCTTTTTTGGACCCATTTTTGCTGTTAGGCTGCGGCCGTGTTTTTGACAAGGACATCAGCTTCTAGTTAATAGTCATAGCTCCTTCCCATAATGGTTAAGCAGCTGAAATACTGCGGGCAACAGTCTTTAAAAATTAGTCAGTCTTGACACATTTAAAACTTTGCTTAGTACTGTTTAAAGAAATACCATAAAGCACTTGTAATTCGAGTTATGAGTCAGTCGTTGTCTGACAGAGATTGGTGATGAATTCACTGTGTGGACCAGTGGGGGTGTGCTTGGCTGTGTGATGCTCTTGAAGCAGAATTCAAAACTAGACAAGGTTTTGGTTGTTTCGCTGTAATAATGTCTGTATGCGTAAAATCTGATGAATTCTGTAACTGTACAGATTAGCATTTAATCCCTTTTAGGTCAAGCGTAAGTGTTTGCTTATAAGGGTATGACTAAAATAATAGTAGAGATCATAGGGAGGATCAGAAGTGGCTTTTTTGAACCTATTTGTGTTAATAAGATACATGAATTAAAAACGTAGGTTCTTTACGTGAATGTAGAAAGGCAGCAGGGCACCAAGGGCCGAGTAAACACCCCAAATGAGAAAATATTAAAAAAAAAAAAAAAAAGATGAGAACATGTTGATATGTTTCTTTTGGGCTGCTCATTACAAGGCAGTGATGGTGTGATAAAATGTCAGGATTTTTTGTAGCGCACTCTCAGACACCGTCTCTGGGACAACCTGGTGTTTCAAGTGGAAGTGCTGAGGGTCTGCGTGGTTCCTGTGCACATTTGGGTGCACATTTCGGTAAATGTGGTTTCAGTGGCCTCTGATCAAATTTCATTCCCGGAATGCATAAAGAAGTAGGTTTCTTGAAGCCTCGGCTGATGTGTGTATTTCCTGGATTTAGAACGGTTACGTTGACTGTATTTGTTAATTTTAATAGATCTTCCCTTAAGCCACGTTAGAATTCTTCAGCTGATCTAACAGTAGGTTTGGGGTGTGCTGGCTGATCGGCGGGGGAGAAGTACTCGATGTTCGTGCGCTGTGTGGAGGGCTGCAGAGATTAAGGTTGCACCTTAGAGAGGAGCGTTACCTGAATTAGGATCAAATGCCGATTTACTAGTTTGCCGGAGTTGGTGTGACGGGGTGCTCGGGTCCTTGGCTGTGGCGCTGTGTTTTGGTTTGTTTGCAAAGACACCCCTCAGCAGCTGGCAGGGGAACACCGCTCGCACCCTGCTCTTAAACGGCAGCGCACGGGGGGCTCGTGCTGAAAAGCGCTGTGACCCAACGACTTCGTGGCAGCCTCTTTTAGGCTTTTACAAAGCTGATTTATTTTCACGTGAAATTAATAAAACTGCACCTGCAACTTTTGAAAGATACGGCTGCCTTCAGGAATGTGGATCCCTGAAGCGCTTCTGTTCCCGCCAGCGTTGTCATTTGACACGTCAGACTTGGTCAGGCGTTGGTCCTTCGTGGTACGGTGGCTTATCGCTTTCAAGAGCAGGTCTGCTCCTCCCGACAGTGGTGTAAACCAGCGTTAGTACCGGCCCTATCCCCTCCTGGATTTCAGCTCTCATTTCAGAGCTCTTTTCCAGGGCTGTCTGTCATCCCAGGCAGATGTCTGTCTGTTAGTTGCATGTGTTGTGTTTTGAAGTTTCTTTCACAGTTATGGCATCTAGAGCCTGGTTTCGTAGAAATGGGAAGTGAGATTGAAGCAGTGTTGAAACATGTGGTAGCGAATTTTCTTAAAAGACCAATTAACTGCAAGATCTGAGAGCCTCAGCATTGTAAGTCAGTTTTAAGTGATTCTGTGTGTTCTGGAGTGATAACTAGATCATTTCTCAGAATTGTTTTCCTGAAGTTTCTGAGAGCTTTTGCAAAGACTTTTAACAGTGGCAATGAATCTCTGATACCATACTATTCCCAGGACACTCTGAACTTGAAATTTCCTTTCTTATCCGTATCTGTGAACAGAATTATCCACATTAAGTTGCAACAAAGTAGAAGACGGTGGGTGCAATGCTGTCTCAGCACATGAAGGATTCTCCTTGGGTATGAAGTGATGGTGACCTCTGTTGCTGTAAAGCAGAACAATCTGTCTTGGCTTTTGATAGAGTTGTTTTTTTTTTTTCCTTTTTCTAGTGGATGGGTTGTGTAGCATATGTTCTTGTGGTTTTCTGTATTACGTTATGTGATCTTACAAGTGCTGCGTTACAGCTTTGCTCAACAGCACTGTAGCTACGTTAACTTTCAGACTTACTGTCCTGTGATGCATTTCCTTTATCCTTCCTTCTTTTGGACGTTTAGCATCGAGTGGGTAAAGCCCCCAGAGTCCAACATGAGAAGGCTTGGTCTGATTTAGCTGTTAATTCAGTAGTGATTTTCACAGTGCTTTGCAAAAGAGATTTCGTATGCCAATGCTGAAGGAGAGCGACTGGTGCCATTCCAGTCTCTCTCATTCCCTGCACAAAGACCAAGCCAGCCCTGAGGAGCTTCTCAGAGTGATCCAGGTAGTGATTGGGACTTTTCAGACCTACGCGTGCCCGTGACAGAAGTGGGCTGTCAGGTGAAATGATGTTTGCCCCTGTGTGGGCAATGTGGAAGGTGACAAGTCACGAGGCTGAAGAATCTCAGGGTTTTTCCCTGGAGAAGGTGGCACATCTGGAACACGGATAGTGCTGCAGGGTGAGTTCTGGCAAGGGGGTCGGAGCAGTTCTTGAGGGCAGGCAGCAAGCGGGTGTGAGGCACTGTAGGTGCACTGGGACAGTCTTGCGTTTTCTGCAGTTTGGATCAACAGGGAGGGCAAAAACTGGAAACGAGTCTGGCGATGGACCCGCTCTAGTTCTCTGCCCGGGTCTCTGAAATTGTTGGCAGTGCCTCGCTGTGGAGTGGGGGACAGGAAGGTGGCTTAGGAAGTAGAAGAGGAGAAACTACAGCGGAACAAGTCGGTGCTTCACAAACAAACCAGGAACTCCTGTTTTGTGCTTTTAGGATGTCTCCAAGCTGCATATCGAGACATGCTTTCTGAACTGCACGATTGCAATCCATAGCTCCTCGTACCTTCGTCTGGATGCTATGATATATGTCTGTATGTATTTTACGGAGCACACAGAGCTGCTCTCCACCTTCGCTGTTACATGATCTTCGCAGCTGGGGGTTCTGCTTTTCTAAGGCAGCCAGAGGAACATCACATCTGAGTCCACACCTGCCTGCATAACACTGCCAAAGCTTCCTGAGGTGCTGCGTTTCTTTTACACAGGGCTAGCAGAGGATTTAAAAAATTATTTATTGGCCTCAAGTTTTCCCATTGAACTCAAAATATCCTTGGCTTTCTGAAGAAGGTCAGAACAGCACAGAAAACCAGCAGGCAGTAAGAGGGAGAATGCTCCATCTTGCACAGTTGCTTCCCAGCAGACAGACAGACAGACATACGTGTGCACGCAGCGGTTGTGGGTCGTGCTGCAGCAGAGGAGTGTTTTGCAGGGAATGGCAGAGGAGCGGGAGGTCTGGGAGGAGGTCACATCCATCTGTGGGCACAGTCCCACCAAATCAAACGTGATGTTTGGAAACGGCCTCGCAGAGGACAAGATGTCATAGGAAGAGGAAGAAAATTCTCCTTCCTCACGGTGCTTAAAGGTCAGTGCGTGGGGTGGTGAACCTGTGGATCGCTCCCCTGTCACCAGGCGAGTTACCATCATCTCCCCAGTGACTGCAGGTACTAGCAAGCAATCTGTCTTCCCTGAAATTACAGGAGAAATCTCTAAAACTTGGCCTGTGGAACATTTTAGTCTCACAATTAGGCTTTTCAAAGCCAAGAGCAGTGAAAATTTCTGACTTTCAAAGCTCTTACTTCTTCTTTTAATAAGCAAAAAGGGAGGTTAATGTGTTGGTAACCTCCGCTGGCTTGCTTTGAGGCACAGTTCTGGAGTTTTTCAGATGGATTACATTGACGTGGTTTGTGGGCAGCTAAGAAAGATTAAAAGGACTTACTCATCCTACTGTGGATGAGTCTGCCAGTCTCCCTGTGCAGAGATCAGTTACACCCGTTGAGGTATCTTCAGGCAAAAGAAACATGTTATTATGTGAACAAAACCCTGAATTCCTGCAAAGAGGCCCCTAACAAGATCTGCCTTCAGATGTGGTGAGTGTAGTTGTCAGGGTATCGTGTTCTGCGAGGAGAGATAAAATTTAGCATTTCACAGTCCAAAGAGAAGACTGGTGCTCTTTGTGTTTATAAATCACATGTAGTGTTCAGACTTGCATCCTGTTTAGAAAATATTTTTTTAAAAATTAGGGTCTTCATACCAGGGCCTTTTCAAGTTTGGGCTCAGTAAGGTGGAGACACATCTTGAAAATGTTAGTATTTATAAAAACCTGGTTATTGGAGGAACTGTAGTTAAGATTGTCGCACAGCTCAATTTCTGTTTGCCAGGTCTATATTCACACCCTTTCTGAGGGGTGTTCAGTACATGCTTTTACAGAATTCTCCCAGAGAAAGCAAAATGCAGGCATATGTGGATGATGGGCAGAAAGAATATATTTCTGTAGCTCACTCACCAGTAAGAAATTAGAACAATAGTATTGATGTGGCTCACGTTAAATGGGTATAAAGTTGGATAACGGAAAGATATGAAATAAGTTTTGAGTGAGGAGTAGTTGCTTTGCTTAGGTCCCTTAGGGACTGGTTCTTGTCCTTGTATTGCTCTAAACTTTGTCAGCAACCTTGAAAGAAAACAGAAAATCACAGCTTTCCCCTAATATTCACTAATTGTCCGGAGTTTTGCCAATTAGTGATTAAAATAACAGAGTAATTTAGATTTCTTCTTAAGGTGGGCACAAACAATACGTGGTTCAGTATGTATGTAAAGCAGTACATCTAAGAACAGGGTGTCTGGTCTGTGCTTAATAGTTTCCCTGACTGTATCTCTGGAAACAATGACATAAAAAATTTAGTCATTGTGGGTAGCTGAGACAAGCTCCCTGTAATGTAAAAAGGCTGGAGGTGCTGCTGATATTCTTGGCTGCAGAAGCTGACATGGGGTAGTGTCGTTTAGTAACATAAATACATCACCCCGTGTTGATTAGATAGATCTTCCAGTATAATCTCTCACCATCTTGTGTTCACAAATCAGGGAGGTTATTCAGTGAAGAAATCTGAAAGTGACTGAAGATTGGGAAACATGTGACCAGCTGTGAAGCATAGTCCCTTTTAGGAAAGGTTTAGGAATTGAATTCTTCACTGGCTTAACCTGGGGAAGAGGGGCTTTTTAACCTATTGGAAAAAGATGAAGCAAGATCCAGTGACTTAAAGGTGAAACTAGAAATATTCAGCCTAAAAAAGAAAAGGAAATAAAAGTTTACAAATTGTAAAGAATGAAGGTAATGATTCATTGGAACGTTTTATCGGAGCTTTTGGTAGATTCTTCACTACGTCTAAACCAGGATTTGATATTTTCTAAAAAGAAGGTTTTCCTAAAAGAAAGGCTCCACTGCAGTACTGCTTCAAGGAAGCCTTGTAGGTTGTTTTATGCAGGAAGTGAGATTAAGATCCCAAAAGTACTATTCTGGTAATTTGATTTTTGAATACACACCACGGTGCCAAAAAGAAGCAAATGTTTGGTCACTTGATTTTTTGTCATCTTGTTAGATTGCAGTGTATGATCTTTTGAGACACTCAGTGGATTTGGCAATACTTGCTGTTTAAACTGTGCCTGGGCCTCTCTGATGAGGCTTAACGCTGCTTTTCGAATTTGCATCTGATGGACTAAAATGATTTTAAAGGAAAGAGCGTTTACTGTCATTACAGCTGTAAATAAGTTACAGATTGTCTCATATTCTGACCATTGCAGTCATAACAGCACACGTTTGAATGTCATTGTTAAAGAATTAACCTCCCTGTTTCCATGCCGTGTTCTCCAGTGAATGGCAAATGGGAAAATCTGATCTTCAGTGTAGAGCAGAATATCAAGTGATGTCCACTGTCCCGTCCCCTCTTACTTACCATAACCAGAACTGCAAAATCTCTAGAAGAGCTGGTATCGCAACAAGCTTTTGTTGTTTACAACTTTGCTTTTGTATCTAGTGGTTTCTCCTGTGTGGTAGTTTCTTCAGCGTGGTCTTCAACGTTCTGTCCTCTGCCACAACCCACGACGATCCCTCCCTCCTCTGTATTAACTGCTTCGTATGAAGCGATCGTCTGCTTTATACCGTTGTTGAGCTCTGATAGATGAGTTTGTGTTGGCAATGCAGTTATGGTGATCTCAGTAAATACTCTGCAGACAAAATATTTTTGTCTTGCTAACAGTAGCGTGGTGTTGAAGGTTTCATGAGAAGTTTCGAGAACCTCTCTCAGGAATGAAATAGGTGTTGTTGACTCTGGTTGGGGCAGAGGAGTGGAAGTAGCTGCTGCTGAGGTTACTTCTAGGTATCTGTGATAGAATTTTAATTCCCTGTTTTCTTGAATGGTACAATCAGGAAAATAAGGGGAAAAAGAAAAGCAAAATTTCCGGTTTGGGTGTAAATTAAATTTCCATCGTAAACAACAGCTAAGCTGGGCTTTCAGACCTGGAGCATGTTAAAGAACAGGAGGAAGTCTTAGAATCACAAAAGCAGGTAGGTTGGAAGGGACCTCCAGAGGTTTTGAGTCTAACCTCATGCTCCAAGCAGGTCTGGTTAGGGCAGGTTGCTTAGGACCTTGTCCAGCCCGTTTCTGTGTATCTCTAAGGACAGAGATCCAACAGCCTCTCCTGGCTTCCACTGCAGTGTTTGTCCTCTGTCACGATAAAAGACATCTTCCTCTCACGTTGAGAAGAATTTCCTGTGCTCTGTCTTGTGTCTGTCTCCCCACGGGGCACCTTTCAGAAGCGCGTCTCTGTCTTCTCTGCACTTCTCCCGTGGGTAGTTGCAGACAGCAAGGTATCACCTTTGCCGTTTCTTCTCTCGTGCGTCGTGTGCTCCAGCCCCTGATCATCTTGGTAGCCCTCCACTGGACTTGTTTCTGTAGGTCATTGCCTTTCTTGTACTGGGCAGCCAAAATTGGGCAGAGTCTTCAGATGTGGTCTTACCAATACTGAATAGAGGAGGAAAAATCCCTTCCCTCAGCCTGCTGGCTACACACATGCTGATACAGCTGAGGATGCTGTTGGCCTTACTGCAGAATGCTGCTGAATCCTGTTCAGCTTGATGTCCACCAGCACTCCCAGGGTATTTTTCTACAGAGCTGTTTCCTAGCCAGCCAGTCCCCAGCCTGTATCATTGCAAGGAATTACTCTGTCCCAGGGGTAGGACTTGGCAGAATTTCATTAGGTGCCCATCAGCCCATTTTTCCAGCCTAGATAAGTCCTTTTGCATAGCAGCCTCCAGCATTTCAGCTGCTCCAGACAGTTTGGTATCAACCACAGACTCTCTGAGAACACAGTGCCCTCATCTAATCTGTGAGGATTTCCTCTAATCCATTCAGCATTTTGTAGGAGATGATCAGGTTAGTCAGGAAAAATTTACCTTTAGTAAATCCTTGCTGACTGTTCCCAGTCGCTTCCTTCATGTGGTGGAAGTAGCTTCCAGGAGGATTTGCTCCACAACCTCCTCAGGATGAAGGTGCATTTGACAGCCCTGTGGTTAGCTGGATGTTCCTCCTTACAGGTGAAAGAAGCCTTTGCCCAAGCTGTGTTCCTACGTTCATACCATGCCTGGTTTTTAAAAATAATAGGTGTGTCATGGATTATAAACAGCGCTTTGTTTACTCTCTGGTACCTACAGATGTAAGCTGGGAATAGATGAGCCCATTGCCATAATCCGATAGGAATAACTGCCTAAGGAAGGACACAGTAAAGCCCTTTTGCGTTTGCCTTCTCCTCTTTGTTCGTTTGCAGAGCTGTATGCCTCGAAGTTTGCTCTGAAATGAGTCTGTTCCACTTTTGTCTGAAAAGCACGTAGATTTTCTGCACCCAGCATTGTGAAAACACTTTAAATCCTTAAACCTCCTTGAACTTAACAAATATCCAAAGCTCTGTCTGCCCATCTGCTTGAGAGTGTTGTGCTGTTGCCTGGTGTGACGGTGTAGAAGCATCTCTTGAGTACAAACAGCTGCCAGTAGAGATGTCTCATTTGGACCTGTTGTAGCTTATGGTTTTCTTCCAGTTTCAGAGGCAAAATTGATTTTTTTTTTTGTCTTTTTTAGTTTATGATGGTTCACCAGGTTTGTTTGTTGATGACTTTAGGTCTTTTTATTTCATTTTGGCTTAAGAGTTTTTAATGGTATTGGAGGATAGAGAGGCTCATCAATGTGAAAGAGGTCTGAGCACATCTTTGCTGGCTTTGGAGTTCAGTGCAACAATCAGCTTCCTTAATACCTGCTCATTCATATATGAGTATGAAGAGAGTTAAGATTTACAGAATTATGAATTTATTCTGTAAATATAAGAAGGCTTCTGAAAAGCTGAGAGAATGAGAAAGAAGAGCCTTGAAACAACTGCAGTGGACTTGATTTTAGCGGTTTCCTAGTATTGCACATAGTGTTGAAATTTCAGTGTGAAAAACCGCTGGAAACATGTTCAAAATGCTTTGAGAAATGAGTGAGAGATAGAAGATGAGCACTGAAAGCAACACAAGTAGTTGCAACGTGCAGTGACAGGACAGCTAAAACATTCTTCACAGCCAAGAGGCTGAATCTCACTACAGGAAAGTCCCATTTTTGTAACGGACCCAGGTCTCTTGGCAGAGGCACCGAAGAGTTGCACCTGGGCCGTGAGCGGGGCCGGCTGAAGCTCGGCCCGTGAGGCGTGCACCGCTCTCTGGGGAGCAGCAGCGGCTCCGTTACCTCTGTGCGTGTCCCTGTCCTCACGCCCTGGTGTAACCTCCCCGCCGGAGAAAAGGTTTTACTTGGTCGTTTTCCAGGTACGTTACCTTTGACATAAGGTACAGGTTGTCGCTTTGTGGTGAGGCGTCTGCCCTGCTTTCTCATCAAGCCGAAATGGGGGAAGTCTGAGCCCGGGGGGATAGCTGTCAGGTGGCGCCTCTTTGTCAGCTTTGTTCGCTTTCCCTGCTCGTGGTAAACAAAACCGTCAGCTTCTCTTGAAGCACCGTGGGAGGAGGAGGGCAGGCAAAAAGCAGTTAGTGCGTGAGCTCTGAACTGCTGTGTACCTCTGTCGTTGCAAAAACCGTGAGGAAACTACAGTCGGTTCTGTTGCATCGGTCAGTCACGGTGACGGGCTCCGTACAGGACCGCGGTGCTTTCTCTGGGCTCGTTGGGAATGTTCTGGATGCACGGGCGTGGTCTGCTGGAGCTTCAGCTGCCGCAGGACTCCTGCTCCGTGTCCCGTCTCTCGTGCCTCCCAGCTCTGCTTGTACACACTATTGTTTTTAAATCTCGTAACCAGGTGTCCTACCCAGAAGTGGCTGAGAGAGTGTCTGCCCCAGAAGAAGCTCCCTCCTTGCCCTCGGAAGAACGTGGTTTAAAAAAATCTCGTGATGTATTTGGTTTAGATTTCGGCATAACAACAGTTAAACAACCACCTACAGCAGACTCAGAGGTAAATAAAGAAACACTTGGAAGTGAAAAAGACTTCAAAACTGCAAATTAAATTTATTCTAGGAGAGAGAAATAAATTCCAGCCTTGTACATGCTTTTTCTCCTCCACTCCTTTTTTCTCTCCTTGAAATTTATCTCGAGCTATTTCATCTTAAGCTGTAATCTAAGAACTGTTTAAGCCTTGACTCTGCACATGCGAATTCTAAATTGCACCTAGAAAACTAGTATTGACCCCTGAGTGGAAACTATTCATTTGGTTTAATTTTACTTTTACATTGATTCAACTTCATTTATTAAGGACTTCAACTGAAGCTGAATGTATTCCTGATGAGGTCAGAATTTAAATCAATGAGTTTATGTAGGGGTTTGCACAGGTTTAACTAAGTTTAATTTAAAGGATGTGGAGTCATCCCCAGAGATGATGCTCAGGGCTGTAATCTCAACTATTTGAATGTTTGCTAGACGCTGTAGCACAGAGAGGAGCAGCACTAATGCCCCACTTTGTAAGTCAAATCAGACCCTGATGAGCATCACAGGACAAACTCAATTTGTGCTGTCTAGACAGGATACAGAGTGAGTTTGAGCACAAGAAATGCAAAAAAAAAGACTTCTGAAATACTTGAGTTTTGAAAATGATGGCTCAAATCATGCTGGCAGTGTGTAAAGGTATGCTGAAAGGGAAGCAAAGGTGACGGATGAGATCTGCTTTTGGAAGCAAGGATTCCAGCTTGAAAAGAGCCTCAGATTGCAAATCTCATTAACCTTAAATAGAGAAAACACTTCCACAGATGAAACAGGGCGGTGTATCTCAGAGAGGGGTGCCAGCTCAGATCATCAGAGGTGTCAACGATTGAATCTAAAATTCCTTTTGTCAGGCACTGCTAATAAAGTAAGGAGATCACGTTGATTGAGAGGTAAGTATCGGATCTAGAGCTGACAAGTACATTCAGACTGGCAGCGCTTCTTAGTTTGTGATTTTTAGCGTTCTCCTGTGTACTGGGAGTGAGAAGGATGATAGATGGCCTTCTGGATTCACACACGACCATCTGGAGCTGCACCAGCAGACACCCTTACTGGAAATTAGGGTTATTGCAGATCAAAAGTACAGTTGTGCACAGATTATTTCACCTGCCAGACTCAAGTTATGTTTGCACAGCGCTGGTTTCGGGTAGCAGTTGTTACTGTGTCAGGAGGACGCTTTACCAGTAGCTATACTGGTACAGCTTCGTTGTTAAGCATGCCTAACCCAGGTCTGGCTCTACGGTGTAATGGCTCTGTTTATCACTATAATCCTGAGTGCAGTTCTCACCCTGTTACCTGGAATATTTACCACTAAGGCACGTCAGGGAAGGGTTGCCACCATCTGCAGAGAAGTGAGGGCATGGGAGAAGGCGTCTGGTGGACAGCAGGACAACTCTTGCTCTCCCCTTTGGCTGTGTGCACTAGTACAAGGGATGAGACTTTGCTCAGTAGTGAGGAAGACACAGATACATAAATATCTGCATAAGAGAAGATCAGATTCATTTCTCCTGGTAGGGTACAAGCCACCTGAATTATCTCAGCCTTAGGCAGGACAAACCGCATGGTTTCACCAGCGCACATTCTGTGAAATAGAGGTCCGTGGAGAAGAGTGATGACTGTTCTTTCTGGTGTTTGAAATAATACCACATAACTCCAACCCTGACTGCTGAATTTGGTGGGTTTTAACGCATGGTTTTGTGTCTGGTTTTGTGAATTCCCTCGTGGACTCTTCTCCTCTGCAGAATCCCATGCTGCGAGGATTTCTGACCATCCTGGCTAGCAAAATGGATATTATTTCATGTCTGTTCCTCATAAACTCTACCTGGGTTGAGTGCATTCACCAGCTGGATTTGACAGCTTGGGACATCTCCCAACAAAAAATTCAAGATAGGGCAGGTTATTGGCATCTGCTGTTGGGGGGTGAGGAACGTGGAGCCCAGTGTGTCTCTCCAGCTGTTTATGTCTCTCCAACTCTTGATGCTCCTGAGCTCTATTACCCTTTTTGCCCTGAATATTTTCTTCTTGAGGACCCAGCTCCCCTGGTTTGCACTAGGCCAAAGCTTTTCTCTGGCCGAAGCCTTGGTCTTGGGAGGGCAGAGCATTGTGCTCCTTGAAGGTGGCATCAGTGTCTCACCGCTCGGCAAGGGTTGCCATCACCACGTGAGGGTTTGTGCTGGCTTCAATTCTGTTATTCTGATTCAGCAAAACAAATACCCTGAAACCCTCAGCTGCACAAAGTTTTGATGAACTGTATGTGGCTTTCCTTTTTCTGGGCTGTCCTTTCATATTTTACATTTGTCTTACTACGCACTTTAAAAATGTGATCTGTGTATTTAAAAAGCAGAGCTGTTTGCTTGCTTAAGTGATTAGTAAGTGGTAAAGGTCTGGTACCAACAATTACCAATTAAAAAGCATCGTTACAACGTTCCTTATAGATCATTTGAGTTAAATATGTTGTGACTAGCAAGTGTGGTGTTACTTGGTTAAATATTCATATAATTCATGTTTCCTTGCTGGCAACAAATTGTTAAAATGCTCTAAGTTTTTTTGATTGAAAAAGATGTGGTGGTTAAATACAATGGCTGCTTTTTAAAAGCAAATACTAGAGAATATTGAGAATTATTTCTATTAAAAACAAAACTAGAGTATTATTTATGTAAAAAAAAAGGCAGGGAAAATGACCCGTATAAACCAGGTGGCCTGCATTTGATCTCTGATAAAATAGTTCTTTTTGTTTGTTTTTGATTGGAGAGTTAGTTGTAAGAAAGGTCCTGTGGGACAGCTAGTATCAGCCTGTCCAGCTGTGTGGAAACAGGTCTTGGCAAACAAACTTCGTATTTTGGGATAAGATTGGAGGTCCAGTTGATAACGGTCACTGATGTATTTTTAAACTACTGTAGTATGTTTGATTTTTTCAGTCAGTACATCTTACTTAATTAAGGAGTTTACTACTAAGAACAAACAGAGGCCATATAAAGTAGATTATATTTGACAGTAATCTCATCCTCTTTTGGAGAGCTGTTGAACAGGGGCCCAGCAGGGGTGTACTAATAGATCAATATTATTCCATAATCTTCCCATCACAGTATTTATTAGCAACAGCTTTAAAGTTCCTTTGATAAAGTACCCATGAAGTATGCCCGAGACACGAGATACCTTGTTCATCCAGAGGAATCGAGATGCCTTGTTAAACTGGCACAGGCAAATGCACTTTTTACGGTGACCAAATCTGTGGTTTGTACATCTGAGAAAAAAAAAAAAACAGGCCCTGGTTACTGCGTGGGGGGTTGTATCCTCAAATGCTGGTTTGAAGAAAAGAAAAAGTCATGGAAAGTCTGGTGAGTAAGAAGCTAAATGGGACCGTTGTGTGATGCTGTGGTGAAAGGGATAAGTCTGTGGTAATGAAAATGCCAGTCAGCATGGTTTCCTGGAAAATATGTCTCTCCAGATAAACATAATCTTGTTTCATGTTTGAGTTTACTTGAGTGGTGTCTATAAATATGTACAAGAGAATATTTCTTATACCAGAGGGCTTTTTATTTTGTAGGCAAAGATTTAATGAGATTTGCTGCCTGGAAGACAAAACAAGCCTGATCAAACTAGAAAAAAAAAAGAAAAAGTTGTTACTATCAGCACTTGAAGGCTTTATGTGAGCTATCTCAGTGAGATGTGCCGGTTTGATCAGATGCCTTTTGTGTAACCTCAGAAGAAACAGGGAAGAAATGATGTGGTCTGTCCTGTGCAGGAGGGTCACGGCAGCTTTGACTTGCAGTGGCTCCTTCCCGCTTCAAAAACCGCCGGATTGTGCAGTTCCAAGGTGAACGTGTCGCATGGAACCATGCGGTCCCTCCGCCTTATAAAGAGCTGGGGCTTCGCGCGGCGTGAGGTGGCTTCGTTTTCTGTGAACCTGGCACGGTGGGGAAAGGAGACTGGAGTCCGTGGTGCCAGATCTCCAGCGTCGGGCTTCTGTGCAGGCTGAGGTGGCTGGAGGGCCCGTGAGCCAGATGGTGCAGCCCCAGCAGGCCGGGGGGAGGCATGCATTTACAAGCCTGGAGATCAGCATCCTGCTGAGGCAGATGATCATTTACCGCTCAAGTTCCTGACAATATTTGGAATAAGCTCTGAGTTTGCGTCATGATCACATTTGCAGAACCTGTTTATTTCTAGAAGTGCGTTTTATTTTTCTATGTCAAACTTAGCGTGGAGTCTGGGTTTGGCCAGTGGTGTATTTTGTCACTGTCGTGACGTGTAGAGCCCTGTGTACGTACCCTGCTGACCAGAAGGTGCAATGGATAGGTGTTTTTAAATGTGACTGGAAAGTATGTTCTAGATACACTAGGAAACAATCCTAAATTAAATGTCAATCTTGGGATGCAAGCATTTGTGTCACTTCAGCCTGCATTGATTTTCCCTTCTCACTGTTGATCTGTTGCAGGTCCTGTTTCTGGGGAGAAAAAAAAAAAAAGGCTTTTATTTATTCCCTCACCTGTTTTGTCACTTTCTTTCCGTAGTTACCCAGCGGGAGACTCTTCCACGCTGCAGCCGTTATCTCCGATGCTATGTACATCTTTGGCGGTACGGTGGACAATAACATTAGAAGTGGAGAAATGTACCGGTTCCAGGTAATTCACTGATAAACGTGCTCAAACGTCCACACCAATTCTGCATGAATCCCTCTGGCTCCGTCTCCGGACGTGGCAGTTTCTGGTCTGGCTGGCCATGAGCTTGATGGCTTTGGTTCCACGTTGTCCTGCAGGCAGCCGTTGCCTTTCAGGTTCAGCTGCCAAAGAGCAATTTGTATCTTTAAAACCTTTTGAGCGATGTTACCTGGACAGACGTTTTGGTAAGGCCGAGCTCTGCAGTGCCTTCTAAAGTCCTAACAGACATCATGACAGCTCATTTTGATAAATTATTGAAAAGTGTATCAGACCGGATTTGCCAGGATGTTTAATTGAAAATGGACTGTTCCTCTTCGTGTGCTGTCAGGTTCAGTACTGAAGTGTTGTCTGAGCTCCCAACCCCCAGTAACTCTGGGAATTTTAAATTTCAAGATACTCACACCAGGTCAAATCCTCCCTGCAGTCAAGTTTTTTTTTTGTTGTGTGGGACCCTCAGACAAGTCCGGAGAGCAGGTGAGGCTCCGAGCCGCCAAATCCTGAAATCTGCAAGTTGTAATGCGCCACAGTTCTTCCACGTTACTCTGCGTTACCTTTGCCCCTGCATGTCTTTGGTTTGCTTGTTATTTTCTGCTTTATAAACTATGTTGAGGTTGAGTTAATAAGAAAATCCAGTGATAGCAGATGTAACTGCAGTGCTTTTGGATAGAGCCGTTTAAAATGAATTCTGTCTTCTGTGGGGTTTGGGTTTTTTTTTTAGTTTTCCTGTTACCCTAAATGCACTCTACATGAAGATTATGGAAGGCTGTGGGAAAACAGGCAGTTCAGTGACTTGGAGTTTGTTTTGGGAGAGGTGAGTAGAATTTACTGAAGAGGTGCCAACGGGGGTGTTACTGCGCGTGTAGCACGTTTGCTGGGAAAAAGCAAATTGTACAATGGTTGTGCCAGGAACCTGGGCATGAAGTTCTAAGAGCAGCGTCACTGGTGAAAATGATGTCTGTCTGGTTTAGGATGTTACACTAATCCAGGCAAATTTCTAAAGCTGCAAATGAGAAGAAACTTTTCAGCTGAGAAGATCCGTGGATCACTGAGACATAACCCAAATGTATCAGAGCACATTATATATAGTTGCAAAATGAAAATGATACGAATGATCTCTGTACTCTGAGGTCCCAACTGTCTCTTGGAAAGAGCAGGTCAGTGGTTTGCAGATCCATGTTTCATTTCAAGAGCCATTTTTAATTACTGAAATAAAATAGAATGGCAAAAGGCAGCACAGGGGAATGATTCTCTAGTCATGAAAACAACTCTAAAATTTTAAAAAGAATATGTTTTCTGAAGAAAAACATGAAAACTTTGAACTTACCTGCATTCCTTTTGCAAAATAAAGTTATAAAACACTTTGCAGAGATCAGGTGATAGATCCTCAACAACAACAGATGAAATAGATTATGAAGAGCAGTAGCAAAAAAACATACTGTTGTTCTGAAAAGAGAAAATGAAACCAAAAATCAGATGCAGCCATAAGAAGCCGTGTCTGTGACGCTGAACCTCAGTGAACACAACAAAGACTCTTTCCAAACGGTATTTCCCATTCGCCTTTAGGGAAAATAGGTGTTGAATTTCATTTGTATGTGCAGATGCAAGGTTGCCTTTGGTTCTAACTTAAACGAAATGTATGGTAACCTGGAGTTCAGCCCAGGTTTCCACGACTTCTGCCATCTGCCACCACTGTGTGATCGGGGAATCAAAGTTCAATATGTTTTCTTCCATTGCCTTTGACAGAAGGAAGAACGAGTCCGAGGGCACACCGCAATTGTTACAGCTCGCTGCAAGTGGCTGAAAAAGAAGATCATCCAGGCAAGGGAGAGGTTGAAACAGGTGAGTCTTTTAGAAAAGGAATCTTGTGGCAAGGTAATGCTTTTTCTGCCCAATTTTGGAAATGAGGTTGTCAGGAAAAAAAAAAATCTGCTGAGACAGATGTAGGGCCAGAGCAGCATCTCTTGCAAAGGGGCTCTTGAGCAAGTGAAATGGAGAGGGTAGTTAGTATTAGCGTAGGCTCCGGGATGTGTACCGGGTCAGGCGGGAGGCGTAACATGGAGGAGCCGAAGTTAATCCAGTTATCTGGATTTGGTGTACGGTTCTTGGGAGCTCTCCTAGCTGCCTAAATTCTGATCTAGTGGAATACCCCTGGGGTGGTATGCATACCCCTCCCTCTGGGGAGGGTAAAAGCTGCATGGCACCAGGAGTGGCCTGCAAGATGAGACAGATTAGAGGGAAGGCAGTGTTAAGGTTTTGAGGCTGACTGTTCCCTTTACCGTAGTATTTCCTGACTTTTTCCAGAGTTGAAGATCTGATGCCTCTGGATCATTGTCTATTAATTTTAATAACTTACAGCTTTTCAGCAGCAAACGTGTTACTGCTCTTGAGGAAGTGGTAGCACACAACCTGCAGTAAGACATAAGGATGCCTCGTTGCCCCTCAGTTAATTGCTTTGCCACCCCACGGCCCTCCATCTTCACTGGAAGAGGCTGTAGGGAGAGACTGTGAAAGTGAAACCTGAAAGTAACAGCGTGCCTGTCTGTCTCCTTTCTGTCTGTCTCTCTCTTTTTCTGTCTCATTAGAAATCAAAGCAAGATATTGAAGACGAGGGACATGCGACATGTCAGAAGGATGGGATTGGCTTTTTTCCCCCAGCCGCTGCTGGAAGTGCCCATCCGAGAGGCCGAGGCGCAGCCCTTCGAGGTGCTCATGCAGTTTCTGTACACGGATAAAATAAAATACCCTCGCAAAGGTAGGACAGCAGGATAAAAAAATACTAGCAACTGAGGAACAAACATTTATTTTGATACAGAGCAGGATTGAGCATTTGCAGATGATCAGTACTGCTCTAAGTGCTTAATTACTTACCTGAGATTAAAAAACCCCCAGATTTCTATCAAACCATACTGAGGGTGCTTTGCTTTTTCCTAATTCTTTTCAAACATCAAGGAAAAGCAGGTTCTTGATCATTCCAAAAGGTGTAAAAAAAAAACCAAAACCCAGACAAACAAACAAAAATGTCATGGTGTTTTGAACAGTACAGCAGCCTGCCTGGAAGGACCGTGTGTCCTGGGTTGGCTTATTTCCTTTTTCTGGTGTTGTTTTGATCCGTTGCAAACTGAGCCCCCACAGAAAGGCAGGGCAAGGCAATGTTTATCATCTCTTCAAATGCCAATCCAGAGGAATGCCTCAAGAAAGGAAAAATCCATTTGATGCCTTCATTGAAGATCCCCGAGTTAAAAACACTTGCAAGCTGGGAGGTAATGGCCAGAGATCTCTCAGCTCCCACTCAGCCTGTCTAACTCACTCGTGGCCACGTTTGAGCGGTGAGGTCTGTTGGGCTGTGGGAGTCAGACCGGGTACCCAGCAGGAGCTCCAGCTGGTGGGGCTGGGGAAGCTGCAGCCACGTGGCAGCGTCAGGCCAAGCGAGGTACGTCTAGCCAACGCTGAACGCTTTGCTGCAGTTTCAGTGCAGGATCTTTCCTTTCTATGAGAGGTGATTGTCTGGAAAATGATGATTTGTATGCGCTTGTCCTAAGGCTTTCCCTGCGAGGTGCCCGTCTGAGAGCAAGCCCCATTCGTGGGGACGGGGGGATCTTCTCATTGGTGTCTGCTGACCTTGCCAGAGCCCGCTCTCAGCCGCTTCACTGATCCTCAGCATGCTCACTTCAGGACAGGATCAGACCCAGGAAAGGGTTATCACACGGAGCTCTTCCCTTTGTTACAGGCTTCCCAGGCAGCCTGCCACCCTTCCCCCAGCCCATCAAACCTTCTCCCTGGTGCTTATCTTTCTGCTGGGATCCTCCGAAGGCCCTGTCCTGACCATTTGTATTCCTGGTTGCTCCTCTCAGTTCAGAGAGCAGCACCTTGGGGATCCATCCAGCGGCTGAGCTAATAGCGTTGGGCATGCTTATCAAATGGGATTTTCCGATTAGACGCAGGGAAGGCACGTGACGTTCAAGAAGGCTTTTCTCTATCAAAAAGTAGTTAACAGCAGATGGCCAGAGATCTCCTGTGAGGAAAGCAAAGGCAGTGGAGGATTATTGCTTGAGTTGCTGTCCCAGTAGCCCCACTGCAGGGGCCTGTGAAGGTCCCCACTGCCCCTCTCTTACTTCAGCCCTCTCTTCTAGACCAGCCTCAGATCTGTACGTGCGCTGGCACAGAGTGCCCTCATAAGCGTCTGTCAAAATCAAGGAGCTGATTGCTAATACTGCATAAAAACCAGGGACTGCAGCAGAGCTATTAGCAGCTGAGCTCTTTGGAAAACAGGGCTGCTAGCTTTGGAGCTTGTCAGTATTTTTAAAGACTTCACTTCCTTTTGAGGGTTTTAAAAAATTGTGATCCAGATTGTCACAAAATCCTTGTCCAAAAAATCTTTTGGGCTGGCTGTTTCATGCCTCAATTTTGAAACTGCTTTTTTAGTACCAATTCAGATTTTGTCTAACCAGCAATGGAAATTTTCTCCATAAAAATACTCCAGTTTCTGCCCTTTCTACTATTCCAAATGCTCAGGTTGATGTAAAAAGAAATACTTTGAGAAGGGTGCTTCTGTTTGGTTCTGTGAGCTCTCCAGCATTTTTATCTCTTGTGATTTCAGGTCATGTGCAGGATGTGTTACTTATTATGGATGTATACAAACTGGCCTTAAACTTCAAGCTCTCTCGACTCGAACAGCTCTGCCTTCAATATATTGAAGCATCTGTAGATCTGCAGAATGTGCTCATTGTGTGTGAAAATGCTAACAAGCTTCAGCTGGATCAGCTAAAGGTAACCATATTTTGCATACAAAGTAACTGATAAGAAATTTAAAAAAATGAAATTTATGTAACTAATGTTTTGCAAAAGCTGTCAGCTTTTGCAAATTCAGTTCTTTCCTATAATTATAGTTGAACATATGTTAGTGTGGATTGTCCTGCAGTTCCTCGTGAATATTATGTAGGTTTTTTTCACTAAGTGTTTGATATTTTTGCGTATCTGCCCTGTAGGATGTAAAGGGCAGAGGGACTTTGGGTTTTCATCGGTTCACTCTTGCTGCAGCAAGATGGAACCAGTGCATTTTCTGGTCCCACTGTTTTATACAGAGACTGCAAACAGGTTCTTTCACCTGATCTGATGAAAAAGCTCAATTCTCTTCTCATGCTTTTGACCCGAAAGAGACCCTACTGAAAAAGAAAATGTGTCTGCGATTCCTTGTCTCTGTGTAGTGGCTCAAGGGCTTTTAGGCGTTTGCTGAGAGTCGTGATAGAGTCGATAGTCCCAGGCTTCAGACCATGATTTGCTGTGATGGTCTGGTTCCCACCAACAGCGGCCAGAGCCAATTCTGCTTAAAGCTGCAGAGAAGCAGCTCCTCCAGGCAAGTCCAAGAGTCAGTGCAAGATCAGGCAATGATATTTGAGCAGCCTGTGCACATCGGTTGGCCATATAGCTGACGGCTGCAAGCAGAGTGAGACTGGGGAAACCAGTATGCACCAGCACTTCCTCAGGGATAGTGTTTAGATACTGGATTTGGGCGAAGGAAAGACATCCAGGAGGACAGCAGCAAGTATGTAAATGCTGGCACAGCCTTTGGTGCGTAGGACCACGATGCCGTTAGCTGCCCAGCAGCTCAAGCAGCTATCTCAGCGTTGGTGGATCTAGTGCCATTGGTTTCAGAGCAGCCAGCTTGCTCCACCTGCCGTAGCTACCAGCAGGGTGACAGAGGCTCTTCCACACGACTCTCATGTGGTCAGGATCACCCTGGGTTGTCATCTTGTCTTCTCAAGTGCGCGTTAGTCCTGAGTAGGTGCCGTCTGCAGAAGGCTGCTCTTTCTGGCATCCTAGTCATTGTTTAAAACATTTTACAGATGGGTCCTCGGCAGATCCCTTTGGATCCCAGGTGAGATAATTTGGCAGAAAATGGACCGCAGCAATTATTCTGTGGGTGGATTTTGTCCTCAATTTATGGTGAGCTGGTGTAGATTGTATCTTTTGCTTATTGAAGTGTCCTGAGGGAAAGCCTTGGTTCACACTGGCAAATGGAGTGCCAGTTTTTGTCCCTGTTTAGCGTTAGGTCTGGTTCATTTGTCACCTCTCCACTGCCTTGATGTGTGTAGCACGTCTGTCATACAAGAACCTACAAGAGCTCTTTCAGACTGTTCACAGCCTGCACAGAAAAGGTTACAGCAAAATCCACACAAGGAAATCCTGCAAACTATTTGTGCCCTTAATGAATAGTGTTGAGAGTTCAGATCTCTTCACCCTTCTAATGAACTTTTGGTGTCTAATTGTATAAAGAATTGTTATGATACAGCATGCAATCTTAGTTAGCTCCATGAGGTTTTTGGTCTCCTCAGATTCCTATTCTAGAAATCTTCCGAGGAGCTAGGTGAGAGACAATTAATCCTTTCCTTGTTATTATTTCTTAGTCAGGTTTTTCTCGATGCTTAGAATTGTCCTGAGTTTCCTGTTCAAGTAGGGGCCTGAACGGTCTCGTAGTGAGGAGGTCCCTGTTTGATAGTTCCAGCTGCAGGATCCATGTGGAGGGCCATGGGGAAAGGCTGGCAGCTTACACGTGTGACGTGGTAACGTTTATGCAGTGCTGTAGGATGACTTCGTACAGCAAACTGTAATTGTTTTATTAACATTGTGGTTTTTTTAAGGAACATTGCCTGAACTTTGTGGTGAAGGAATCGCATTTTAATCAGGTAATAATGATGAAGGAGTTTGAGCATCTTTCTTCATCGCTCATTGTGGAGATTGTACGGAGAAAGCAGCAGCCTCCTGTTCGAACACACTCTGATCAGCCGCTGGACATCGGTAACTTTTCTGCTTTATGAAGTAATTAGTTGTGCTGGTTTTGCATTGCTAAGGTTTGCTCAGTCTGGGAAGCAGACCCTGCAGCCCACCAGTTCTCCAGTTGGTGTAGCTGTGCTTAGACTGTTTCCCAGACTAAGACAGAGCATCCCAGTTCTTTTTCCAGTGAGCTTCCATCAGACAGTATCCCCACCAAAATACATGAAAGGTCATGTTAAATATCCTGATTCTGTTCAGAGAGAGAGGAGGCAGAAGGAGCAGAAGGGTGTAAGGAACCATTCAAAGAAAAGGCAGTGGAGGTTCAGTTTAAGTGGACTAGAAGGTAACAAAGCTGAGCTGCTCGTAGGTTTTAACCAAAGAGGAGCAGGAGTAAGGAAGAAGATCTTGTGAGTAGGCCGCTGCTGACAAGGTTGACCTTATTTTTGCATGTGTGTGTGAGAGAGAGAGAGAGAAGCATGGAAAAATTAGCCAAGAAATAGAAAAGTTAATAGAAGAAAGGAATAGAAGATATAGGGAGGAGAAGACTTTGAGAAGATAAATTACCTCTGCCAATGGTCGCGCTTCTCATTTTCCTTCTGTGGTTGTGCTGGAAGGGGAAGATTTAGTTTACAATTCCATTACGGAATTCGTCAAGGACTGATTTGGGACTAGTCTTATTCAAGGTTTTGTCATCCTGACACACAAAAGAAGGAATGTAATCGTGAAAGTTGCTGAGGCCATGAAGTTCAGAGGCATTGCCAGTGTTGATTTTGAACACTGCACAAAAATAATTGGGAACTGGAGAGAAAGATGGGGAAGCCAGTCCTGGAAGGGCAAGTAGAAAGCGTTTGGCTGGCATTTGTCCCAAGGGGAAGCGGGGTGCACCGTCCAGGAAGATGTACCCGGTGCTGGAACGGTGCGGGTGACCAAACATCGAAAAATTGAAAGAGAACTTTGAAAATATGAGTGAATTTGGATCAAACCTGAATGTGCTCTGTTTCTCAATTGTTGTGTATTTTTGAAAGTTAATTAAAATGTTGGATAAAAGAAGGCTTTTTTGAGGATTTGGGAAAGATTTTTTCATTAAGAGACAAAATTTTATGTTCTTAGTGGTTGGAAATAATGAAAAGAAAAGGGTGGGGAAGCATCAGGTTTCTTTATCAGTAGAGAACACCTTTCCATGTGGCCACTGCTGCTGTTTGCCATCAGCAGTTTGAAAGCAGAGCTGCCAGGTTTGTTTCTGGGAGGGCAGTAGGTAATGGATTGGGATGGGGAAGGATGGAGCTCATTTTGCTCCAAGATTATGAGGAAGGGCCTGCCTCCAACTCGCCCCAAGGGTTCCAAAGGAAAGAGGGGTTGGAGCTATGGCTTGGCCAGGTGTTAGTTTGATAGTACCTGGTCGCCTGGAAGTATCGTGTCTGTAACTATTTCATTACATTAACTTTCAGGAACGTCTTTAATTCAGGACATGAAGGCTTACCTAGAAGGGGCCGGGACTGAATTCTGTGATATCATCCTTCTCTTAGATGGGCACCCTCGGCCAGCCCATAAGGCGATCCTCGCAGCCCGCTCCAGGTGAGTCACTGTTTGCTAAAACTGGAGCAGACCCCGTGTGTGGGAAGTGCAGGGCTGGGCACCCGTGGGGCAGCTTGCCTTTTGTGGGAGACAGGGAGGAACTTGGTGTCCGCATGGCGTGTAACGTGCAGCTTTGCTCAATGAGTGTAATAAGCCTCTAAGCAGCAGTGATTAAATAGGGTTTTTTTCAATTTGATACCCAGCAGGGAAAGATAGGAGGAAATTAAAACTGTAGAGATTCTCTAGAGGTTGTGTAAGAAGCTGCACTGCGAGACAGAGAGTCTGTAAAATCCCAGGAAGGGGAAAAAGGGGTAAAACATGAGGTGGTTTCAGTGAAGCAGAAAGCAACACATGTCCACTGAGGTCGGAAAGAGTCTTCTGATGGTGAACATCCATTTTGAATCATGTGAAACTGGAATCTCTTTCTCACTTGCTGGTATTTAAGGTTGGGTATGAATAAGCGTAACAAAAAGTGGTGCATGACAGAGACTGGATTGTTCCCGCACTTAGCTGCAGAGGCAAGTGGTTCGCCCTTCTGAAGGTGGGTACTATTCTGCCCCCTCAGTACGCGGATGAAGTGGGTTTGTGTTTCACTTGTCTTCTGTGTACCTGCGCCTTTATGTCCTGCCAAACATTAAGCATTCACGTAACATTTCTGTTTCAAATGCTGTCACAGGTTTTTTCCAGTCCTGGTAATAATATTCAGTATTAGTTACCGTGGTATTTTACCAGAAGCATTTCACAGCTCTTAGAACAACCCTGCATGATTGACAGCCTGTAGATACCAAGGAAATTCATAATGCTTTAAGCTCTCTACTGGGTCTTATGCAAATAAGATGAAAATCAAAGCACCATGTGTCCTAATTTTCAAGAAACAGAGACAAATTTCAGGTGGTGCTGATGGAAATTAGGGGGATTATATTTGGAGCTCTCTCACAGGCAGACATATATGAGGCAATAATTTATCAGTGGTTTTTGCCCAGGTTGTTGCCTGAATTTGCTTCTTGGAAGCTGCAGTGCTTAACAGCAGCCTTTGAACAGCAGTGGGTAAACCCATCTGGCTGCAGAACGTGTTACACCAGTTTTATTTCCTTTTCCAGTTACTTTGAAGCCATGTTCCGTTCTTTCATGCCGGAAGATGGGCAAGTGAATATTTCTATAGGTGAAATGGTGCCCAGCAAGCAGGCATTCGAATCTATGCTTAGATACATTTATTACGGAGAAGTAAACATGCCTCCTGAAGACTCCCTGTATCCTTAAATCTGAAGTAATTGAAGTATCTGTCTCGAATGCGTGCACAGCAGCTCACCTTCCTTTTGCTCTAGATGACCAGGCACAGCCTGGGAGGGTTATTTGTCAGGGCTGCAGTAACAGGCACTGCGTTTTAACTTCTCCCATTGATCTGCATGTAGAATCAATGCTGTTGCCTTTGCTTTACCTTTTTTTCCTTAACGAGATTCCTAGCTACCTCTTTGCTGCACCTTACTATTACGGCTTCTCCAACAACAGACTACAAGCCTACTGTAAGCAGAATCTAGAGATGAATGTCACAGTGGAGAATGTGCTCCAGGTAATTGTCCCCAGGCAGCTTTAATGACTCGCTTGACTTAGATACAGGGCAGCCAAAGGGTCAAGTGGGTACCCCCAGTGCCAGGTTCACTGAGTTGCTTCCAAACTGGCTTCCACTGAGACGGCACAAACCCTCGTAACGACGGGGCCCCGCGTGCGTCCCACACCTGCGGGAGCGCGGCCTTCCGTGGCTCTGTCTCCTTGCCTGCCTTTTGGGTCGCTCGTGCTCCTGTGGTGCGCAGCAGGTGTTGCTCGGCTGGCCAACGGGGGTTCCTCTGGAGCTCCTCATCCCCCGTTGTAGACCAGTGTTTCTAAAGGTCTCCTAAAGATGTCCCATGTGCTCAGCCTCAGCTCCAAACCCTTTATTGTTGACTTGGTACCACGGCAAACAGCGACGTGCAGGTGACATTGGTCTTGTTTTATCAGTAATGCCGGCGGGCTCTGGCAATGAAGGGTAAGCTAACGAAAGGTGTTCTGTGGTGGGGAAGCCTACAGGTGGGCAGACCGAACCTTCTGCGGCACGAGCAGTCTCGGTTCCCACGTGAACTGCTTTTGGCTCTTGCCAGTCTCGCTGGGGCACCTGAGGGAACCTGGCTCTGAAACAGATCTGCAGTTTCCTACTGATTATCTCCTGAGGACTCCATAAATTTTGAATCCAAGGCTTATTTTTGAATAGTTCAGAAAAGGTTCAGATTTGTAATGAAAAATGGAGACGTTTTCCTAGCTCAGAGGAATCACCTCCTCTGAGCCAGAACAGCGTTTGTGGGCTGTGCGGCTGAGCTGAGTGGAAGGAAAATCACATCATTGCTTTTGCTCTAGATTTTAGAGGCAGCTGACAAGACCCAAGCCCTGGACATGAAGAGGCACTGCCTGCACATCATCGTGCACCAGTTCACCAAGGTTGGTTGCATCTTTTCTGGGGCTTTTGAGAGCTGCTGTCCTCGGTCGCTGCGTTGGTTAAAGACACAGTAATGTAGGAATCCATTTCGTTCTTTCTCATGTGAGACAGCTGAGAGTTGGCTGTGTGTGACTGACACTCTCTGACGAGTCTGCTAGGCATACTTTTCACACCAAAAATAAATGAAAGACTACAACAGCCTAGTCTGGAAATGTGAAGACCTTTCAAAACAGAAGCTACCCAGAATTGCTTCCATTTCCACTTGTTCCAGCTCTTAATTTTGTGCCGTGCCATCGTTGTGTTCTCGTGTGTACCGCAAGATACGATTGTTACGTGTTGAGGGCACAAATCTCTCTTTCACTAGTGGTTGTGAGTGTGCTGCTCATACTTCTCCTGAAGTATTCTCTGCCGTAGATGTTACATTGTCACGTGCTCAAAAGGCAAATTACCGTGTCCTGGCTGGGCCTTCTGTAGTTTCTGTGTTTTGGTACATGGGATGATGTGTTAGTGATAGGAAAGGTCAACAGCCTGAGGTGCTGATATTCCTGTTGTCACTCGAGAGAATAAGGGTACTGTCATTTGGTTGTTCCTATGACATATCATCCCTCCATGAGAGTTACCAAGCAGGTCACCAGTTCATTGCACAACTTACTAGCATTGTTGAAATTGGTAGATAAATCATAGGAATTGGGATTTCTGGATGCCACACCCTTACTGATAGTAACCCGCTAGTTATTACTCAAGCAGCGTGCTGGCTTCTGTATGTTTAAACTCTCAGTCCTCCCACCACTGCCCGTGGGCAAGGAAAGCACTGCTGAGTCCAGTTTGTGTCTGGAGATGAGGCAGAGGGAGGTGTTCAGGCTCTTTATTAGTGACCAACGTGATGCATTTTATGTTCAGAAATCACTGAAAACGCATGAAAAACTTTGAGAGAGGAGCCGGCATCCAGGCCTCACGCTCCCAGTGGAGCCTCCCCAGCCCAAGGTTACAGCCCCCACCTCCATCTTACGTCCGTTCTTCTGCCTCCCGAGCCCTGCGGGGCGGCCCCGCTGCGGGTCACAGGGTAGGGACGTCTCCTGGGCTGTGGGGTCAATGCTTCGCAGCCCCTGAGAGCTGAAATCTCACAGTCTTAACTTCCCAGTGGAGACCACAGGAAGACAAACAGGTTGGTGTGATTCTCACCAGAATGTACTGGGGGAAATGAGCGTTGCGACATTCAGACACAGATTTGAACTGAAGGGCGTCACTCCATTGTACTCCGCTAACCGGAATATGTGGGAATGTTTTATATTTAAACTGTTGACTGTTAGAACAGTTTCCATCAAAATGTGGCTGGAAGACTGTCAAGCAGATGTGCACGAAGAAATCTTTAATTATGCAATGTTTTTCTTTGGCCTGAGAGGCTTCAGTGTGTGATTTTTGGCCCAGCGCTGGGTGACTCTATGTGTGGCTGGACACGAATTCTTGCCGTCCTGCTCCCTGGCAAGGCACAGGCTCTGCAGGGTGGTTCGTTCTGGCTGTGCAAGCCCGGGGGGGTCATCAGGGCTGAGGCAGGTGGCGTGTACGGCCGTTGGGGTCTCCTGTGCTTCCAGCTGGTCTCAATTCGGACCATGAAGGAGTTTTCCCCACGGTAAGAGCGTTAATCGAAGAGCTGTTCCCAGCGGTTCGCTACTTTGGGCAACGTGTTTCTGGGCTCTGTGTGTCAGTACTGTGCAAAAGCCCTAATAAAACTGCTGTTGTGAAGTGTTTGCACTGACACCCTGATCTGTTCCGCCGCAGCGCGTGCCTCGGCGCAGGGCATCGTTCCCGCTAGCGTTAAGGGGGTCTCCTCCCCTCCCGGTCCTCGCAGACCCTTATTGTGGGGGTATTCCTTCAAGCACATGTGCTGAGCTCTTTCTGAAAGTGTACTCAGCCATTTCCTTCCTGGGTTTCAAAAGATGCTCAGGACATCTTTATTCTTTATCACAGTCAGGCTTCTTAGAGTGAGGTGATAATCTTTTATTAGATCAGTTAATAGGGGCTGGGTAAGTGGATGAGCTTTTGGGCAGAGTCCACCTTCAAGGCTGGGCATGTACGTTAGTAACTCTAGAAATCTGGAGGGATTACTGACTCGTTGCTATGAGGTTGTGGAGAAGGAAAGAATGTGTAGAGCTCCTTTTTGACAACAGTTGAGCTTCTGAACAGTCCAGGAGCATAAAGTTTCCTGTAGATTCTCATATATCTGGTGTGGTGAAGGTTTTTGTTGGCCAGTGCTCCGGTGACCTGCTTTGACTGCAGGAGGCATGCCAGCAAACCCAGCACGGGCACTAAGCACGACCTCTCCTTAGGAGCACACAGGAGCAAAGAGAGGAGCAGGTCCTAAGGCACGTTCTCCGTAGAAACGCACAGACTTCAAATTGAGGGCTGTGCTGGTGCCCGACTGCGCTTTTAGGAGGGCGCTTAGCTGGCAGCCGTTGGCAGCAGAGTTGTCAATATAACCAGTAGTTGCCCTCCTTTCCGAGAGGCAGCGCTGGGCTCAGCATTCCCGCTCCTCTCTGTTCCCATCCCCTCTGTGCAGCAGTCTGAAATCGGGTTCCAAGTGCAGAAGGTCGTGACCGGAGCCCCATGGGCCGCCCTCTGCAGCCCAGCTCCACCGCTGTGTTTCACACCGTACGTGCCCAGCCTTTGACTTGCCTGACCTGCCTGACGCACGTGGGGTGGCAGGGGTGACACGGTGGTACTTCAGCTGTGATCTGGGAGGGTTTTAATTTCTTTGTTTCTTCTGTTCTGTTTTTCTTTTCCTTGAAGGTCTCCAAGTTGCCAAATCTCCGCTCCCTAAGTCAGCTGCTCCTTCTTGACATCATAGAGTCGTTAGCTAACCACATATCAGACAAGCAGTGCGCAGAGCTGGGCTCAGACATATGACATACTTTGGTAATCGAACTTCTCATTTGTTCCTCAAAAAAACCTAGCACTTTACGGCTGCCTCTCTTACCATTCCATACTGAGCTGCTCGGTGTCTGCACAATGTAGCAGGCAGCCCGGAGGAGCGTGGACAGCTGACTTGCTCTCCCATGGATTTGCTTGGTTTGTACCTCTGTGGAGAAGGGTTTGGTCTCTGTAAAGTTGAAACCATTACAGGAATGAACTTACTCCACGTGGTTTTGGGAGTAACTAAGTTCAGGCTCAAGCCCATTATTACTTTTATACTATAACATAGAGCTGTCATGACTCAGAGAGTCCTTTGAAACACAGTATTTGAAGAGTACTGTTTAAAGAGCTTCAGCTGATACAGCCAGGGGCTGTAGGGGGAAGTCGGGTGTAACAGAACTGGAAACAGAGAGCGTGGTGTTTGCAGTGAGGCTGACTGTTGGACCAGAATGTAGTGACTGTCAGCGACTCTCCACAGCGTGGATTAAAAGATAAGCCCTTTTGCAACTGCCTCGGTTGGTGGGCTGCAGGAAGTGCAGACCTGTGCTCTGCAGCGGGGCGGACTGGAAGATTACAGTGGTCCTTTCTGACCATCAAATCCATTAATCCTGTCTCGCTAAGCCTTTCTAAATCAATTTATTAATAAAGAGTTAACAACTTCTCATGGCATTTCATGATTGACTTGGCTTTCATTTTGGAAAAAATAAGGCAAAAAGAGCTCCGAGCTTGATGAAGGTCACTCTGTTAAAAATAAGCGTGCTACATCTGGTTACTAATTTTATGCTGAAGTGTCTTCGTTAGTCGCTGCCTTCGCAGGAAGGTGAACGAAGGCAGCCGGTGCAGAAGCAGCTGCTGTCCCCTCCCGGTTGCAGCTCCCCGCCGTGCTGGATGGTTCCCACGCTGCAGAGGGGAGAGGAGCTTTACCTCTCCTCGGCTGTGGATGGTGCAGCTCGGCTGGCTGGCGGAGCGTCGGAGATCAGCTGGTGCTGGTGAAACTTCTGCCGGCAGAGCTGCTCCCCAGCCCCAGAGCCGCCAGTTTTTTCGCGGCGGCTGAGACTCAAACCCGTGTCCTGCCTTACGCTGCGGCGGTTCGCAGAGGCGAAGCGCGAGGCAGCGCTGACGTGGTGCCGCCCTGCCTGGAATGGCAGGAGTTGGCTTGAGCTGGAGCAGCGGAAGATCCCTCTGGAGAAGCACAGCTGCCCAGCCCCCGTGTTTCCACCCTTGTGGCCGTGGTTTTTAATTCGGGCCAGCAAAGTGTCCCTGGGGTGGTACGAGCCGTGAGCTCCTCTTCAGCATCCTGTAGTGCGATGTGCGGGTGCTTCGGTGGGCTGAGGGCCTGGCAGGCTCTGTGTGATGGAGGATGCGTCGTTTCATTTTGTCCAAGGGAAGTGCTTTAGGGACCACCTCGTCTGTCCCCCAGCTGGTGGCCTGCTCAGGTGAGTGAGTCACACCAGAGGTGGCAGATGCATCTGAGAGCCAAGGGCTCGTTTTCAGCCGGGGGGATTATTTCCAGATGCCTCATAAGTAATGAAGTCTCTTGTCAGGGATCACGTTAATTGTACCGACAGTCTGGGAAACCAGAGGACCTGCAGATCGAGAAAGGTTGGACGCTGCAGCTTGCAAGAAGACTACAAGTTGTTTTCAACAATGCTGAATCCACTAGAGGACACCCATTTCCCAAACATGCGCAGCCTCGTTGCCTCAGTAAGAACAGGCTGATTTCAATCAGGCCATAACCAGCCCCTTTGACTCCATTTTCTCGAATAATTTGGGGTTTAGAGCTTATGCCTGAGCCTGTCGCCCTCTGAGCCTGGGCACTGCGGGTGTCTTTGCTTTGGAGGTGGTTTTGGCTTAGTCCCAGCTCTAGTGATGGTGGTGCCCGGTCAGAGTTGCATTGCATCGAGGGGATTTATTGTCTGAAAAATTGCGGTCCGTGGCGCTGTGGGGTCATCGTGGTGATTTGCCTCTGGGCGGGGTGCTGGGATTGTGCACCCCTCCAAGAGAGGAGCTGGGGACCTGCCCCGTGGGCAAGGCTGACCCCTTCAGCCTGAGCTGTCTTCCCCACACCTGGGAGCCCAGTGGGGGCTGCGGCAGGTCTCTCCGCGGTTGGGGGCTGCGGCGGGTCCCCCCGCGGTTTGGCCCTGCGGGACTGGGCCGACCCTCGGGAGAAGGAGGTAAGAGAAGTGCTGGGGCTGTCAGGAGAAATGGGCCAACCTTCCCGTAGGCTCAGGCGGCCACACAGCCCAAAGGGGACGGCCCTGCCAGCCCCACGGGGCACCCCAGGGTTTCCTGAGGGCTCTCGGGAGGGGAAGCCCGGCAGGGCCAGCACACACCATGAGATTATTTGGGCTTTCTAAGGCAATCGGGTGTTCTCATCGTCACCACCTCAGAGCATGCTTTGGAGACGGTGGCCTTGGGGGCCTTTATGGCCAGCAGGTTACTGGTGATAGTGCAGCCTCGAGCAGGTTCGTACTGGAATTTTAGGGGGTGTCTCATGTTCCTGCATTGGTGAGGAATAAGGAACAGTGTGGCTCTCCAGCTTTGTCATATTCCTACCGTCTCTGCCATAGGTAGGCCACAGTGGGTCTTCAAAGCCCCTAAGTCACGCTTTACCTTGCACCGTTGTCCACCCTCCAGGATTTATCCCAGCAAACTGCAAAGAGCAGGTCCCAGGAAGCCCATGGCACCACGGCCGTGCCTGTTGGGGCTCACGGCCTTTGGGGTCAGGGCCTGGCTAAAAGCCCGTCAGGCTGCGCAGGGGGCAGAGCCCCCCCCGCTTTACGCTGCTGTTCAGAAATCTGCCGTCACCACTCCCGTGGGTTAAGTCCAGGTTTACGAGACGGTTTTAGCCCCCACCGGGCACGGGTTCCCCCAGGGCCGTGCAGTGACAGTGGGTGCCTTCACCTCCTCCTGCCTGCCCGGAGCTGGGGCGGGCACACGCTGCCTGCACCCCTTTCCCCAACCCCGAAGTGAGCCCCGGCGTGACTGGGAGGGGGGCAGGCGCCTTGGTGGCTAAAGAGGGAGGAGGAGAAGCAATCCCCAACTCGGCCTCCGCCTTCTGCAGCACCCGGGGTGCTGAAGCCAAGAGGTCCCAGTTTTGCCACTCCACTGCCACCGCGGCGCCTGCAGGGTCAGGTCCCCATGGTGCAGGCAGCACCAGCCGCCCCACCCCACGGCAGAGGACCAGCTCCCCCCTGTCCCCACTGCCACGTTGGACCTGTGACAGCTTGGCAAGAACCCAGCAAGGACCAAGGCCTCCCTCAGCCGCTCCAGCCCTGAAGACACTAACGTCAGGCCCATCGCTCCTGTGCCAACAGCAGGAGAAGCCACCAGCCTCCTGGAGTGACCTGCACATACCAGAGCAGGGCTGGTGGGGTCCCCTCCTGGGGCACGAGCCCGGTTCCTGGGCAGGAGGAACAGAGAGTCACGCTAAGGCTGCCCATGGGTCACTGGGAACAGGAAAAGCACAAAAAGAGAAGAAATTACAAATTTTAATAAGGAAATGTGTGCAGTGAGGGAGAGAGCACCGAGGTCCTGCCAGAGGGAGAGTCCACGGAGGGAGCAGAGCCCAGGGAGGGAGCAGAGCCCAGGCTGCATTAGTCCTCTGTCACCTCCAAGCCCAGGATCTTCTTGACATAGTTCTGGACGTTGACGTGGAGCTGGGGCGCTGTAGCAGAGAAGGTCTCCATGGCCAGGGCCCGGGCTGACTCCGACCCAGCCCACATGGCACGGTAGAGCGGCAGGGTGTACTTCTGCTTCCCCTGCAGAGACAGAGCGGGGGTTACACCCCTACCTCCTCCCCA